TATTTCGAAAGTGATTGCATCTCTCATAAAAATATGATTGTGTACAGTGTACTCAATAAAATTATTTATAAAATATTCATGTTTTATTAATGAAATTATATGTATGTTCAGCTTGCTTGTATCTAAAACAAAATATATTGTCATGTTTTTAATTAAATCCATAGTATTTTATAGTTTTTTCATATATTTAAATTAACTTAAATTGTATTTAAATTAATTATTCTAAATTAATTGTGAATTATGGGGATGAATCAATATGGAATTATTGGATATGACTAGATCATCCCAAACAGGAATATCGAATCCTGCATCAGCTAGGTATGTATTGAAACAAATATTAATGAATTATTATAATAATTAAATTATTATAATAATATAAACTTTATTTCATTTCTGATTTAAAATATTTTTGCAGGCGTCACGCAAATGCTAGAGAAGTACAACCTGCAGCATTTTTACAATATTGCCAATCATTGCCAGTACATTTAGATGAAAATGTTCCAGTGTTCAAGCATTGTAGGTAAGCAATTTGTATTTTTATGCATAAAGTTTGAGGAAAAGGCAGACAAAGCCATTATGTTTTTTTCTTTTATATTAGTTTTGTTTATTGATTTTTAAATTGATTTTGTAGACGCCGGATATATCCACCTTCCTACCTTTCTGCTGCTAAAGTTACAAACATACACAAACCAAGACAAGGCGGACTAATTTTCGAATGGCCTTTAAGAAGAAATAAACTTATTAAAAAAACAAATAGGTTTCTAGTTTTTGTGTTATGGGCGTGTTCCCATCTTTTGTACTTTCTTTATCGAACACACATCCTTCCTTCAGCCATTGGTTAGTACAAAAAAATGCACTCTCATCCTCATTCTCATATAACTTTATACTTTGATACAAACGTTGCATTTAAATATTATCCATTTTTTCTGGAATTTTTAAATTAATGCATATTAAACATGTGCTATCAAATTATGTATATTAGTTACAAAAATTAATTAGTTTTCACATATTTTCAGCCGTAGAAGTTCGACCTCCTCCCTTGATCATTGCTAGTATTTAAAACCTTCACCAAGACTACATTGCACTATTATTGAACCAGATTGGTGAACTTCGAATTAATATAATTAAATAAGCAGATTAACTTAGAAAGAAAATGATTCAGGAGGAGACAATAACTGTATATGATACTTCATAATATATCATAATATTATAATTTTTATGTACGAACAGTATTTTTTATATTTTAATAATTAAATTTATGAATACAAGTATATATGGTGTTTAGCAATTTTTTTTCTAGTTGCACTACAAATAGTGTAAATTAATTAAAATTGTATAAATTAAACTAAATAATTTATACAAAGCTTTTCAATTAACTTCTAAAATTTTTGCATATCTTTACGTTTCAAAGGTTTCTGAACATTTTGGCATACCTTAGAAAAAATGGATGTATTTGTGTGTGCGTGTATGTTTGGATACAATTTTTCGTCCACGATTTCGGGCGCATGGATTAACCGACTTGAATGATTAAAAAAAACATTTGATTTCTACTGATAAGGAGACGTGCTGATTAGCTTTTGGCAAAGACAGGTCCAGCCGCTAAAATGATCATTAGACATATGCACATCAAATTATTATAGATATTTTTATAATAAAAACCAATTTTGTGACATTTTTTTTGGGGTTCCGTACCTAGATTTTTAATTTCTAAAGTTTACTTATTCGGTTCAAACAAATTTCAAAATTTTCAGATTTTTTTTAAAATATTTATTGATTATTATTTTTTTGCTTGAATATTCAGTTCTGAAACGGGAAGTTCCAGCAGTTTGCCTTAAGGCGATTCTTAACTACTGGAGTTAAGAATATGATTATAAAATTGAGACAATATAATGAATTGAAATGCTTGAGGAATTTTAAAATTGCTCCTATGACGGAAACTGCTTATTTATCTATGGCGGAAACAGTGTCACCATGAACGCCATGAATATATCTGATATTGTCTAGACATGGTTACCAATTCTGGAACGTCGATCTGTCAAATTTTCTATTTGTCGGCCATTTATGTTACAAATGTCAGTTTGCATTGTGATAGGTTAAGGCATAGATAAGGAATTAAGGGTTAAGGAATTGATTCGGTTTGTGTTTAGTTATTTATCATTCCCATAATTGCTTAGAGTTTGCTTAACATTGTTATTTTATATTTCTAGACATTTATAAATATGAGTGCTCCTAAAGAATCTGATAGTGCGATGGAAGTAGAAGTAGCCGCTGGAAGTAGTTCTAGTGTAAAAGTGCCAGTGGAAATAAATAATTCAATTAGTACCGGAAAGGCTGTGATGGCTACTGCTGGTACAATACCATCAGTAACAGTTTCCCTTCATCCATTAGTAATTATGAATGTATCAGAACATTGGACAAGACGTCGAGCTCAGGAGGGTTCTCCACAACAAGGTAATAAAGAAACAATGTTACATACATACTTACAGACATCTAGGAATACTTTGATATAGATGTTCAATTTTACTTTAAACTCGTCGGTTTTTCTTGACTCATTCCTTTCATTTATTGATTTCTTTATGATGACCGTCTTCCTGAAATTTATCAAATTTCTCAATACAAAATGTACCTAATATGGTATGTAAAATGTTAGAAGTTCGGTATAGAACGTTATCATTAATATTTCAGTTATTGGAGCATTAATAGGCAAACAGAAAGGAAGGAATATAGAAGTTATGAACTCATTTGAACTTATGTTCACAGTCATCGATGAAGATATTGTTATAGATAGAGAATATTATAAGACTAAAGAAGAACAATGTAAGACCTTATTTTAACTCTATTTATAACTTTGCATTATTTATTTGTAAACATTTATATAGTTAAACAGGTATTTAGTGATATGGATTTCCTCGGTTGGTACACAACAAATGAGAGCCCATCTGAAAAGGATTTGAAGATACATAAACAAATTTGCGAAATAAATGAGTGCCCGATAATGTTGCAATTGAACCCTTTATCCAGGAACATGGATGTTAGTATATACTTACTTCGTTAAAGGAGAATAAATAATATGACTTACCTCTTTCCAATAAGATTCATGCAAGTTTTCCTTTTGTTTATGTTTATATTATTAAGATCTGTAATATTTATTATATTTTGCAGCAACTTCCTATATCATTATTTGAATCAATCATAGATTTAGTAGGCGGAGAAGCAACAATGTTATTTGTACCACTCACATACACCTTAGCTACAGAAGAGGCTGAACGAATTGGTGTTGATCACGTTGCTAGAATGTCTAGTAATGAAGCAGGAGAAAATTCGTTGGGTAAAAGAACATTAATACTTATATTCCATATAGAAGTCTTACCAGACATAAGTCAATATATTTGTTGCATATACATTCTTCATTTAGTTGCTGAGCATTTGACAGCACAATACTCTGCAATTAAAATGCTGCATTCAAGAGTACGTCTTGTTCTGGAATTTATGAGAGAAGTAGAGAGCGGTAGAAGAACTGCTAGCCATGATATATTACGAGATGCTTATTGCCTAAGCCATCGACTGCCAGTTCTGCAGAGTGAATCATTTAGACATGAATTTTATAACGTAAGTAAAAAAATTTAATATCATTCAAATAATTTTTGAATTTTTGTACATTATGGCGTAATTATTGTTTATAGCAATGCAATGATGTTGGGCTTGTGACTTATTTGGGAGCAATTACTAAAGGCACAAATGACATAAACCAGCTTGTAAATAAATTTAATATGTTATATGACAGACAAGCAATGGGCCGGCGTATGCGAGGGTTATTTTTTTGAAGCTCATTGTTTTTATTTGTGATTATTTAATATTTTATATTATTTTCAATAAAGTATGTAACATTATTGAAAATTTGTTTGAATCACTAGCCCTCATAGTATTTATAATATAATGTAATAGACTTTGTTCAGGGTTTACTATATTTTGTTGATCATACATGAATATTTAAAAACAAATTGATTTATAAGCAATATTCATTTTTTGTTTATTTATAAATAACAATCCACACATCATATTAAAGAGTAGTTACAAAACTAGATTACTTGTAGACTTATATAAAGGTTTATTCAAAATTTGTTTGATGTTCTAAGTTAAATCTTATTATATATATAAATATATATTATTACAATTTGCATCAAATTAAATTTTTACAGTCTTAACTATTCAATAATTTTTTATTACAAAGTATGAGTTTGAAATTAATGCTTTGATATTATTACAGTTGCTTTAAAGCTTTTGATTATGTATTAAATATTTATAATAATTAACAACCTGCCAATATTGATAATTGCTTATGTGATCTAAAGCTATATACAAAAGTCGTTAAAACTAAAGGAAGTCTATGGTTTTTATTATTATTATCGGTGTCACAACACTTGTTTTTGTTAATTAGAGTTTTCACAATCGAATTTTGAATTCTGTTGTAATCAGTTAATGCTAAATACCAGAAATTAACGTTTCAAATAATGTCTTTAAATGTACTTCACTGTTAGTTTGGTGTTTTAATAAAAGGGCTTGAGAATATCCTAATGTTTCCGAAACTAATTCGCCGACGGTCCATTTTCGATCGACCAGCACTCGGCATAAGGTATCCAACTGAAAATAATTTTAAATTGTGTAATGTAAATTATAATTTATGCTTATTTAATTAAATCGCTTACTTTAGCTAGACTTTCATGTCCATTTGTGTAATAAATAAGCGTCGGTACTCCGGCTACACTGGCGGCTAACCATTGAATAATAAGTTTTAATTGGGGGTCACCTGCATGAGACTTTCCGCAGCCCCAATTTCCAGTTGATATCGATTTGAGGCCCCCTTTGTTGTGACGTTTATGAGCTATTTCGGATATCTGTAGAAAAAAAATGTATTAGAAAACATCATCATCTTGGGATTTATCATGTCGGATGTTTGAAATCTATATTTCGTTTCGGATCTTTTTTTCATAATTCACTTATCTTAGGATATTATTACTATTTTATTATTCATTATAATATTAGTATTATTGTTAATAATATATTTATATCATTCCGAAAATGCTATATAAGTATATACAATTGTTGAAATTATGATACTACGTAAGTATTAGAGTTTGTTCTATCAAAACATACAATTGCCTCAATTTTTGAGGTGTCTAAAAGGACAATTATTACACAAAAGACAGAAATCATTTGAAAATTAAACGGATTCAAAACTAGTATTTACAAGATAAACAAAAAGCATTATGTAAATATTTACAGCATGCGAACATGACGCAGACACAAGCAAAAATACCAGTTCTTAAAAGGTTTTTGTTATGTAATTTGAATTTGGTCGTTGAAATTTTATCAAGATAAGTACTTGTTTTATTCCTGTTGTTTTGTAGAAATGATAATAGAAGGCATTCCGATAGAAGCACAATTCAACACTGCCGAAATATACAACGGATTATCAGTATTACCTTAGATTTTGGAAGTGACAATACTACATTTTCGCTGGCTAGTGTTTGTTCCATCGCCTCTATGACTGTGACCGCCCATTTAAGTTTACGTTTATTTGGCACATTTGTGTCTGAAGAATTTGTGATTTGTGCACAGTTGTGAATTATTGTTTCTATACTAGCATCAGAAGGCAGTGAACCAGTACTATAGCTCAATACTGATTGTTTATCTTCGTTCGAATCCGTTAAATTTTCATTTTCATCGATCTCGGTCTATGGTAATTTATACAGTGATTCTCTTCAGCAGTATTTGAGGTTAGTGGTAATTTATAAATAATTTTTATTATTCATGTGATATACTACTGTTAGTTAATTCAATATTTTTAAGGCCAGTTGAACAGAATTCTGAGATATTTATTAACAGTTATATTTTTTAATATAATGTGAATATTATATAATTGATTTTATTGGTCAAATGTATGGAGTTGAAAAAATGTCTAGTAGCACTTTAGGTTCTGTGGGTCGTTCGAAGAAACTTTTTCGAGTAAACCGTAACACGGAAATGAACTTTAAAAAATATTTTTCTGTCTGCATCTAAATATTAACTAAATGTGTAGTAAGAGTAAAAATATTATGTTGACCCATATTGGTTATTGGTCATAATGAAGGAAAAGAATTATTAGAACTTTTGCAGGTTTGAAATTTAATTCTGAGTAATAAATTTTTAGCCAAAGTTATTTTAACAGACCTGTAAAACCAGAACCGATGTCCAAAACATTCAACACCTTACATTACCTAAAATACATTTATTATCCATTATGAGTCTGAAACTTACCAATTGTGCCGCCAATCGGTGTTTGTGCCTCGCCAACTCCAAACTCAGCGACCGCGCGGTAACCGCTATTTGGTTCTTTCGCCTGTTGTATTCTACGATCGAAGAATTTTCTGCCGCAATTCCGGTGCTGTTGACGCATCCTTCCGTTAAAGGAACTCCAGCAAATGATTCGCTAAGTGTTCGTTTTAATAAAGATCCGGCAAACCTGACCACCGCCAGATCTCGAGCGTCCAGCTCTCGTGGTTTCTTAGACTTGGATTCGAATATAGGGTCTTCGAGCCACCTGGGTAAAGGACATATCACAATCTAATTAAACGAACATCAGTTCTAAAAATATTTTGCTGATACTTTTATGTAACATTGGAGTAGTCACCAATCTCGCATAATTCTTATCATTATTCAATGGGTTTACCTAGAAAACTGTTCATAAACTTCTTCTAATTCTGAGCTGTATTCCGTGCTGAAACTATATCGAGACGATTCGCTAGTGTCGTGTCGATGCAAAGGAGGTGCACGTTTCATATCGAAAGATTCATTGAAGTGTACATCACTGTCGCCGGATGCACCGCCGCGTTCTGCTGTCAGCATGAAGCCACCTGAACCACCCCGACGCAACCTAGAAAAAATAAAAAAAATAATATTACGCGGCTACACAATTGTGCACATTGTTTAGACAGTCAAGTTACAACTAAGTAGCAATAATTATTATACCTTCACCATTACCTGATATCACCATCCGCCAGTCCGCTACCAGCCACGCTGATTCCAACAGCGTATCCTGATGCATCTTCGTCGAAATCGTCGGCAGTGGAACTGCTGAAATCACTTTCATGCCTTAAGGCTTCTCGTAGCCTTGCTGCAAACGTACTACGCCTTGCTGGAGTATCCAGTTCTAGACTGTATCGTCGAGCTTGGGTCTCATCTCCACTGCCACCTGGGGCAAGCAAAATTAAATCTATTAGTTTTTTATTCCAATAATTTATTTTTGCTTGTTATTTATCTCACCATCCAAACTTGTTCTCGCGCTGTGAAATTCTTCATCACTGCTAGTATCTTCTGATATTGGCAAATTTTGCCTTATTAAATCTGGAAAAGGACTTGCTCGTCTATTGACTGGAAGACATTCTCCGGAAGAACCAAGGACTATAAATCGCTCTCTGCGGCTGTTGACAGTATTGTCACAAGGCGATAACCACCTCTTTCGATCTATAGGATCTAAAAAAAAATACATTTACTATATCTGGATACTGCAGTACAGAATTTATTGCTTTAAATATTTGAAAATTATATAAAATATGAAATATTCTAAATAATTTGCAATCGAATAAATATACCAATTTGTCTTACTTGTTACGATTTCTGGAGGCGTCGGAGATTTCGAAGTTGGTTTTTTTATTATCACAGTTGCTTCAACGTCTGGTGGTGTATTACATATTGATTCTCCAATTGGTGACAATCTGATTGAAAACCAAATTTATGATTATAAACATATCGTTATAATATAATCATATATTGATTATTTTTTATAGTTTTTTCAACCCAATATTCGAAATTTTTATCAAATGCATCCTTGACATGCTGTATGACAAGCTTATAATAAGGTTTTTTTATCCTGATTCAGGAAATTTTATATTTACCTTCTATGAGAACAATGTTCTGGTTCTGAGCTTTTACTTTCTAAAGATTCGTTAACTACAGAAGGTTTCTGCCGAAATGCTAGTAGACACTTGTTCAATTCCCGTAATACATTGTCTTCTTCAAATTGACTTGCTGGAAGTTTGGAATAGTCTTCTGGATCCATGCAACACACTGAAATCTTATCTGGATGAGTTAGTACTTATAATTTAATAATCTAATATATATAATTAAGTATGAATGTGTATAATTTCACTATCATTCACATACCTCTTGAGGTTCCTCTAAAAATTCAAAAGATGGTCTACTTTTATGCTGATCCAACCTTGTTGTTTTCCTAGCATTTTCTATAAATATCGTTTCATTATCTTCTAATGCTTCGCATGACAGCATCATGCATAATAATTCTGGCATTGAACAAAATTGCAGACATTCCTGAAATTGAAATAGAAAACTTAAAGAATTTCGATACCCACGCGAAGAAATTTTTAATGAAAGACTTGAATCAATTATGGAAGCAATATTTGGGAAAAATTATGTACTTGGTAATGTTTACTTTTGTACCTGACTATTTCCGTGTGTGAGGACTTTTCCACCGACCAGGGAATTACTAAAACAAACATGCAAAGTATCAGGATCTGCTCTACTTAATCTTCCTTCGTGTTTAATTTTTAATGGACATAAAGGTAATGAGCATTCGAGCCAGTCTTCTATCGTTAGCCAATGTCTACTTGACATCACCTAGATAAAAAAATTATATGTATATTCCGATTGCTGAATTAGTTAAAATCATCATTTATCGTCATGAAGACTAATTTCGATCGGCTATTTATACAACTGTATATATTTACCTGTCGGGATATTTTAACAGAGCCTTGAGTATTGTTATTATTTTCGATCCAATCGAAATAGTGAAGTATGCTCTTCAGTTTGGCCTGTTGTATATTTCTGAAATAGAATCCGAGTTAAGAGAATTATTTTTAGTGCATATCGCTGTGAGTTCAATAAATTCATTCAATAATTTCGGCAGTGCCTTACGAGTCCAGATGAGTGAAGAAATGCGTGAAATTGAAGTCTTGAAGAGTTGGATGCGTTTTGTTTGTCCTCTTCGGATAGGTGCTAAAAAAAGCGTGCGCCAGGAGCGATGACAGGAGGTTTTGGCTCAGCTCGTTGCAATCAGCTGAAAGGATAATAAATAGATCAGTATTATGATTTGTTTTCAATGTGCTCAGGATGATGGACAATGAAAGCCTGGACAAGCACAGTTTTTTCAAATATGAAAAGAAAAACTATAGTGCTTTTACAAACTATGTCCAATAGGCAATTATTTAACCAAAAACTTATTCCTACGATAGGGGTTTTCACAGGTGTGACACTGCTGTAGGAGCCAGAAAGCCGCCCTAGTATTGGTACTACAAAATAATGAATAAAACAATAATAATAAATTTTTCTAGTGCTACCAAATATTGTTTTGATCAGTGGCTCCCAAAGTAGTCCCCAGTGAGCACTTAATAACTTACAATGGGTCTTTGTAAAATGAAAATGGGGGTACACATTCTTTTGAAAGAAACCAAAAGAAGCTTTATTTGAAAAAAAATGAAAATATTTTTATCATTTTCAGAAGAACTAATTCTGTAATCATGTAAGTAGAACAGGAGTGGTAGTCCAGAAATGTAATGATACCAATTGAGTATATGTTATTTTAGTGGTAGTATAATTTCACAGTATAACAATGTCTAAAATTTGTTTATAGATAATTTTAAAACCGACAGATTGGAGATAAATTGAATTCTATAAGCAACAATATGATAGGCACAAGATAGTATATTTTTTTAGGTTTCTAAAGTCTATTTAAGTACTACGTACGTCAAAGGGATATTATCTTACGGATATGATTTTATTATACACGTTTGAAGTTTTCTTTGAAGTCATAAAAAAATATATAAAGCATATTATATAAAACGTATGTGTGTTAGAAAAGCAAAGATATTGATGTTTTTGTATGCAATATACAAATTTATAATAAAAATATAAGATAATAAATAGTATGATAAAAAAATATTATACTTAATTATAAAAATGATTAGAAATTATTATTATTATTTATTGTTAATCTTTACATCTATTCAATATTACAATTCTTTTTTTAAAATTACTATTTCAGCATAATTTTTACAAAATACTAGGACACGATTCGTGTACCACTATTCTACAGCTACAAATTTGCATAATAAGGCGTCCATCAATCACGTGAGGTTTTTAGGGAAAGGGGGGGGGGTTGACAAAAAATTACGAAATTCACGTGAAAGTGTAAGGGGTATTGTAAGATATCACGTGCATTTATTTTTTACCTGGATTTGAAAGAAAATTCAAAAAATTTTTATTTTTTTTTCGTAACTAAAAAATATTCGTGATGTTTGGTGAGGGAGAGGGGTAGTTTTCAATATCACCACGTACCAAGCAAAAAGGAGGGGGGTTCAAAAATCCTTAAAAAATCGATCATGTGATTAATGGACGCTACCTAAAGTTTAAAACAGTTTACGTGATTTTATCAATGTCATTTGTTAAAATATTATATGTTTATTACTTTTTACCTTGTTGTTGCAAACTGAAGTGCAACCCTCTCGGTGGCCTCCACTTCTTCAAATCCAACGCCCTCTGCACCATACATTTCAAAGTCCTATCCATAAATATTTGCTTTTCTTCTTCCGACAGGCATGTTTCCAGGAACAATGTCAGGCCTTCGAACAATGCTGCAGCATCTCTGTCATCTTCTTCTGGATCTAAGCTGATGTTGCACATGTCGTGGATTTTTCGCATTCCGTCGACTAAATCTTTTGTGCTCGAGGAAGATTGTAGACTGATGAGGAGACGTTGCAGCTGCGGCCACCAGGGCAGGTCGCAGGGAAGCATCACCAGGGCCATGGTAATGCTTTAGATGGAAGACTGAAAATTAGGAGAAGGTAAGTGAAAAACTGATTTTCAAAACTATTATTTTTATAAATCATGATAATATTAAGTACGTGGCATCAATATATTGCCACACCTAAATGATTAATGACCAGGTTTGGGCACAAATATTCTTCTTATAAATTTAAAAAAAAAATGAAGTATCGAACGAAAACGTAATATAAATATGAAATGGATATTTTTCATTAAAATAAATTCAAATGATTATTTTTATTTGCGCAAAACTGAAGTGATTATTTTATATTGTAGGATAATTTTGCATTCATATATATATTCATTACTCATAAGATTTATACACTGGTCATTATTTTATATTGAACAATAATTATTGTTCATTATATTTATGATTCGTTATCACGAGAGTGTCGTTCATAAAATACAAAGCAATCACTTGCATCATTAATTTTAATATAAACTGTTATAATAACCAATTATTGAATTTTAAATATATATATGGTTTGCTTTCCACAATTATAATCACTTGGTTATTTTTAGAACTTTATTAGTTTTCTCTGAATATGTTGTAGTATTTTTATAAAACACTACTGCATAATTGGTTTTTTTTTTAATATTTTTGATTTAAAACCTGAAAATCTTCTTTTTGCTCATTTTTCTATCCTTAACATTTTTAAGAAGACTTTGGAATCATAACATTTTTTTTAAATTTTAATACCTTAGGACTTATATATGAAGTTTTTCTATAAATAAGAATATTAGAAATATGAATAGGTATTTTAGGAATCTGAATATAAAATATTATTTATATTTAATATTTATTATTATTATTATTTATATTAATTAAATTTAATAAGACTGTGTGCTATTATTATTACAAGAATAACGTATTACTATAAAAATACTTTTATTAATTTAAAATATATTTAAAAATGCCATGAAAGAAATGCAAAATCAAATTATTTTTGGTCCAATGTTACATAATTAAGACACTGGATAAACTATAATTAATTTAGATTAAAAATAAAATTCAATTCTATCTTCGAATAATTTTTGGTGTTAGTACAAATTCAACCGAATTTTCAACAAGCGCCGCACACGATTTTTCAATTGGTTCGAGATATTTTAATTTTCTTTATAATTTTAGCATATATAATTAATTTAAAATATGTCAAATATTTCTTTAATACATCACGTGTTTGAAGCTTTTGTGACATATTTCTAAACCGTTTATCGTCGGCGAGTGGGCGAAAAATATTTTTGGCGTAGGCAGAAAATTCGTACACGAGTTACATAATTATTACACCCTCTACGTTGGGATTCGAGATATAAAGGTGTATATTATCATATTAAAATATCATGTAGTACGAAAATTTCCATCAAATGTATGGATTACACGTTTCTCAAATAGGTATTATTCCACTTTCTATTGATTCAAATATAAATGATATATATGCTTCCACTTTGTACTTCACATATTAACTTGTTAACTTCCCGTAGGGAAAGTTATAGTAATCGCAAAAAAATCGAAAATTTTTATATATCATTACGTTTCTGAACAAAATAGATGTATGTGTGTGTGTCGACGATTTTGCGAAAAGGGCTATGCGGCGCGATTGCTTAAAAAAAGTTCAACATTTTCAAAAAAAAAATCAAAATACAAAAAAAAATTTTCAAAAAAATCCAAAATTTCCAAATTTCTCAAAAATCTATTTTTTTCTAAGTTTTGCAAAGTTTTTTTTAATAATTTAGTTTTTGCAATTTGCCTTAAGGCACGATGCCATGCACCACTAGTTTTATTTATTTGTTATAAAATTTTATCTATCTACATAAGACATTGAAACAATTGTTTATAAACAACAAAAAAATAGATCCAAGGACTATGTCCAGTAATGCTGTTTTTTCACTGTGGTAGTACAAACAGGGAAATAATATAAAATGTATTTTTTACTTATGTGTAGATTTATAATAGTTTTTCGAGTTTTTTCAATATTTTGTTGTGAATTTAATCTTACAATTTCCTTGCTGGATTATTAAGACGTTCAGTTTGCCTGTTTTTATACTTCTGACAATACCTGGCTTATTTCTGTTTGCCTTACTGATTATTTTAAAATTGATTAAAAAGTCTATGTTGTCAATAAATTCAAGTCAATATTATTTCATCTTTATCAAATACTCGTAATAAAAAATATTACAAAATTGATAAAAAGTGTGATTGATGATGATATAGGCGGAGTAGTTCATTTAGTACTTTTATACAAAAAAGCTATAAGTATATTCAAATTATTTACATTATTACATTGATTGATAAACAAAATAGTAGCAATTATTTTAATAAATTTAGAAAAATATTTTTAAAGCATAAGTTTATTCTACTTAGAATTTTCATATAGCGAATTCTCAAACACTGACCATCCATTTGGCAAATAGTCAAATACATATTTTGATAAATCAATTAGCTCATGAACGAAGTGTTCAATAAATTCAACATTAGAAGCTACCGACAAATGATCTATTTAAATCATGTATAATTATATTTAAGATAAAAAGATAGAAAATGCTCGTTTATATGACTAATTATCAGTTATCCTAAATCAATTGCTTTGTTTACAATTTCTGACTTTATCATATCTCCAAAGAATGAAAAAGGTTATTGAACTGGAAGCTTTCTGGAAGTGTTATGAATATCGAAACATTTAAGTTTATGAGTTTCATACAAAGGTGTTTAAATATAAATATAGACCACACATGAAAGTATAAATAGCACCTGCTTTTAAGCTAAGTATTAACTTCCAGATCTCATTTAGTACACGATACTAAAAATATACTATGATTAGGCTGCGAACTAGTGACCAACTAGAATTGTAATATTTCACGACGATTAAAATTTTTTATAGTTTTTTCATCAAAATTTTTATTATTTTTATTAAATAAATATAAAAAGTATTGTAAATTTGTTACAAATCTACGTCTTAATAAATCAAGACTAGCTCATGAATAATTTGCTTCAGGGACCATATGTAAATAAATTTATACAAATACAAAATTTTGGCTTCCCATCAATTTTAAAATTCAACACAAATGATTCATTTTTTATTTTTTAGTTTTAATGATCAGAATGAGTTGTTATATTCATGGTAACATTTTTTTGAAAACTTAGACAAGATTCTTATTTCTTTAAAATCAAAATTTTGGAGTTCCAACAAACGCAAAATATTTCATATAGTTTCATTTTCCATTTATTAGTTTTACTTGACCAGACTAAGTATCTACATTTATTTTATTCACTCTGCCCATGGTAACATTACCTTAGTGTTTATTTAGAATTCTATTATTAAATTGATTGGATTTAGTTACTATATATATTTGGAGTTGCTAAATGCTAATCTATAGGTGTATCTATAGAGTTTTGGCTTGGCATACTTATTTTAAAGAATATTTATGCAAGTACATTGGCTTATTTTCCGGAAACTGAACTTGTAACCTAGTTTTGCCTCGTATTGTAATACTACGAAGTATTATAAATAGCGTTTACCTATTTTCCATATTACATATAATATATGTATCAGCGAAACATGAAAAGATATTGATTTAATAATTTCGGGGTAAATGGACGGTGAATTAATAATTATTTACAAATTACATTGCATGAACTTTGCGTAAAGATTATTTCATTATTAAGTTTGCTTTGGTGATTATATATAATTACAACAAACTCTATTTTGATAATAGATTGAAATAATTATTTTAATGACCTGTGATCATATATAATTTACTTGCAGTGATTTATATTGATGTGACTGAAGGCATTATGTTCTATAAAAAATATTTTTGGTATTGAATTAATTTTAATAGTAATATTGTGTTGTTATAGTTAATGCATTACTAATTTGCTGTAAATTATACAAAATAATAAATTAAAATTATAATTATTGAAAATAAATTAAATATAAAATTATAAGAGAGATTAGATTTTATTATATGACTGAGAATTGAACATCTATTTTTCATACCCGTAATAGGTGGTAAGGGTCAATTTTTTTTCAATTTTGGACCTAATTTATTTTATTTTACATTTTTATTGTAAAATTTGTAATTAAAAAGCACATACAGCCCTAAATTTTCACCCTCCTCATAAGCATTATTTATTTAAACTTAAGTTGAAATAAAACTTTAATTAAATAATTTTGGGATCATTATGAACTTTAAAATATTAAATATACAAGAGTTTTTGAGAGAAAAATAGATACCATAAAAACCTATGGCAAATGTGTAAATATTTCCATAGAATTTTTGAAATCTTATTCGATTCGCAGGCTACAATATAATCCAAAAATGAGTGTTTAAATTTTGTTTCGTAATTAAAAAAAATAAATTAATGAAGAGCGCGCTAATTATACATCTAAACATTGAATATCCAAATGTGCCAACTCAATTTAAAGAAAATCAGTTTCAGATTAGTTTGGCTTTAGCAATTATTAAGCTCTATTTAATATCCGTCAAAAACATTTGTATGTGGTATGCTTTGCAGTGGGTAAACCATTCACTCAATTTTATTAGCTCATATTTCCACACTCGCATTCATTTAGTTTATACAATTTTTTTCTAGAAATATGGCTAAACGGGTAAGCTAGTATATATATATACATATATATATATATATATATATATATATACATTATCGAATTTCCTTGCTCCCAATGGCGCAAATGGTTCCAAATTGATAAAAAACCATTCTCTGAAAGTTTTAGTTCTTAATATTGTCTTCTAGATAAAGTGCAATTCAATCAAAATTTTGTATGGAAATAGCACGAAAAAATTTTGCAGAGCGTCGAATTTTCAATAAAAAATGACACGAATTTTTACTTCTAATTCATTTGTTGCTAAGTTATACCTAAAAAAATTTTTTTTTAATTTTCAAAATTTTTTTCATGCTATTTTCTTACAAATCTTTGATTGAATTGCGCTCTATCTAAACGTTAATATTAAGAGGTAAAACTTTCAGAGAACTGTTTTTAATCTATTTGGAACCATTTGAGCCCCTGAGAGCAAGGAAATTCGAAAATGACCATTTTAAGGACCACCCTAATATATATATATATATATATATATATATATATAAATATATTATTATGTTTCATATAATTATAAAAAATGAAGTGCGAATGTTTGTTAAAGGTTAAAGATGAAACTTTGCTATTGCATGTACCTAATTATATATTTGTATATATATACACATACAAATATATACATTTATTTATAAGCATATATATATATATATATATATATATATATATATATACCGTCTATATATAAATATCGTTTAATGTTTACTATTCGCGTGCTACCCCCAAGTAGTAAAATGAAACGACTGCGCACTGTTCTCAAACTAAACAAAAATAATAATTCCATCCAATATCGGTTCGCAATAATCAAATTCCACCGGTACACATTCACTTACCTGGTTTATAAAAATAATCTCATGTGCTTATTTCTGGTTAGAACACTAGTTTTATTTTTAACACATTAGCCGGCATCTGCACCGTTCATCACAATCCGCGCACCACATAATAACACAAGTATTTTTTACTCTGTTCGAGGACACTTGATCATTTGTTATTTTCTGTGTCCTGTGAGATCTCGTTTCGCACATATTTCTTTCCTTGGAGGATTATCGCACCGGAGGCACCTACCACCTTGTGTTTTCCGAACGTTACTATCATCAGCCTAAGCGAGTTGGGTGTGTTTGTGTTCGCGCTGGTAGATGTGGCGCGAAGTTTTTTCCGGCGTTGGGTCTCGCCGGGAACGACGGCTCTCGGTCTCGGCTCTTTCCGAGGCGAAGGCGTCGCGTCGTAGAGCTTCGACGCAGTTGGCCGGTTGCACGCGAACTTTACCCCCGGGGAAATGATAGAAAATTATTTTGAAGGATTACCTAAGTTTTCTTGATACTTATTCATTAGTTGTTTGTATATTAGCTATTGTTTCTGTGTATAAAATATGTAGAAATACTAGTTGTAAGTAGCATATTAACAAGAAATCTATTTCTTGTTATATATATATATATATGGAAGCGTGGTCCATATTAAATACCAGAATTGTAGACATAATAAATTCCATAAAATATTATGTTTTATACTTGGTTTATTTATGTATGATTAGTGTTGACAACACTATGTGTAATCATATTGATCATTTATTAAATATAGTTGGTATTTACTTATTTACTATTAAAAAGAAAAGGTTTCAAGAATTATATTTTTGGCAATGAGACTAGGGAGAAACAATAGAGAGATCCGAGCTGACATATGAACTTTTTGTTTTGCGCTGACACTATGATGAGCTCCAAATAATGTACATCTGTCAAGTTGAAATGCGACGTGTGTTGACAGGTCGCTACATATATATATATATATATATATATATATATATATATATATATTAGGGTGGTCCTTAAAATGGTCATTTTCAAATTTCCTTGCTCCCAGGGGCTCAAATGGTTCCAAATTGATAAAAAACAATTTTCTGAAAGTTTTAGCTCTTAATATTAACGTTTAGATAGAGCGCAATTCAATCAAACTTCGTATGGAAAGAGCATGGAAAAATTTTTGAAAATTTAAAAAAAAATGTTTTAGGTATAACTTAGCGACAAATGAATAAATTTTATTCATTCATTTGTTTGCTAAATTACATCTAAAAAACTTTTTTAAATTTTTGAAAATTTTTCCATGCTATTTCCATACAAAACTTTGATTGAATTGCGCTCTATCTAAACATTAATATTAAGAGCTAAAACTTTCAGAGAATTGTTTTTTAACTATTTGGAACCATTTGAGCCTCTGGGAGCAAGGAAATTCAGAAATGACCATTTTAAGGACCACCCTAATATATATATATATATATATATATATATATATAGTATATATGTATATATATATTATAATCCATTCTCTTACTCTGATATTTTTAGAGTTCAAAACCTTATTTTTAGGTGTATTTTAAGGGATAGAGACAGAGGGCATCTAGTTCCTAAACATCGAAAATCATTTTCAATATTTTTTAAGGCAAGTTGTAAGAATTGCAAATTCTGAACAAAAAAAAAAACAAAGTTAATTCATGAAAATTAAAATTCAGCTACCTAGAAAAATTGTCAACTGTTATTTCGCAAATGAAATTTTTGCTTTGAAAAATAATCAATACTAATATCTATAATTGTATAAATTAAATTAATTTGTTTAACACATTTTATTTCGTCTATTTGGTGTTCTAAAAATGGTTTTTATTTAAGTGTGAACGTTAACTGTGATCAATAGCTATCTACACAACACCACACAATGTACATATGCTTTAGCATAGATTCTAATTAGAATCGCTTGTGATTCTAATAAGAATCCGTGTGAGTGCGTATTAGAATCCGTGTGAGTCTGTATGTTGCATACAATTTTTTGCCAACGATTTTGGGATCACGGGTCAAACGATTTGAATTATTCAAAAAGCAATCGATTCCTATTGATAAGGGGACGTGTTGATGAGTTTTTGACAGAAGTTGTTCTAGCCGCTTTGGAGATACGGAGCAAAGAGTGCAGATGTTAGCAATTAAGTTTGCGAAAGAACAGAGCATCCAATTTGAATGTTTGAAAAAGCATTCAACTTGTATTGGCGTAATGAAGAATTGTTTAAATTAAAAAAAAAATAGGTCCAGCGGTTTCGGAGATCAAGAGTAAATATTCATTATGTCATTTATCGAATATCAGATGTTATCAACAGTCTGGATCAACCGATATAAATGGGTATCAAAACCTTTCAAAAAATTTTATAATTTTGGAAAAAAAAAATAGTTTTGAAAAATTTCTGTTTTCAAGAAAGACATTTTTTTCAATATTCATTTTTTTTCAAAATTCTCAAAAAAGTCTAATTCTTCATTTCTATACTTTTAAATATTATAAGTTACTGTACGTTAAGTTCCAGTAATTTGCCATAAGGCATCATTAGTTAAATTTGAGCCCAGTGTGAAAATGGCTTCAACCGTTTAGTCGGAAAAGGATGGAAATGTCCGTTTTGTAGAGAGTATATAGCACCGTAGAGCCGCACACTATAAGCGCGTTACACTGTCAAAAACAATCTAATTTGTTACCAAATTATATTTTAACGACCATTTAGCCGGATTAGTCATAGTACGATGTGGATAGAGAGAATTATATGCCTTGTTTGTTTGTAATAAATCGACGTGAGTACATATTTATTAGGCTTAGTTATACAAAATGTTGGGACAGGACTGGACTTTTCATAATTTACAGCAAATAGAAAATACTTGTACACATTTTTATTGTTTTGTAAGAAATTTGGAAATACTATCTAGATAAAGGATACTTGTATCGTTGATCGAGTTCATTTCTTTCATTTATTATTTTATCATTATAAATGGTTAAATAAGATCCTTCACAAAATCTTCTTTTCAAAATGGATTAGAGAAATTATATTGTACTTTAAAAGGGTAATTTGTTCAGTAAGCATAGTTTTAAATTGTCCAGGATTTTAAATTATTTTTATACTTTTGTAATCGTTACATTAAATTCTGGCTTGTTTTTCCAATTTAAGTTAAATTGCAATCTAGGCTGTTAATTTGATGGATATATATATATATATATATATATATATATATGTATAATATATGTATATATATGTATAATAAAAAATCAAGTTTCCAGGAATCCATTCGCCAATTTGCTTTAATTAACGCAGAGTTCACTTCAGCCAAAAATCGAATCTCTATATTGTCAGTACATAAAATAACTACTTTATCGTGAACGCTTTTTATATGTTTTGGCAAACATTCAATAGCAGAAAGTTTACATAAAATTAGTTAATACATGTAATCACTTATTGTATAAAAATCCAAAATAAATCATTGACCTACTTTTCAATATATTTGTATATAGTTGTGTATGTTTGTTTAATGATATAATTATTATTAACGCGCATTTGTCTTACAAGCTTTGGGTGATTTAAAAATAGTTGGAGATGTCGTATGTTTGTGGTGGAGAACATCTGCTAAAAAAAACTTAAGTGACGGAAGTTTTAATTTATTTCAACAACAGATTTAGATTCATGTTTTTAAAAGACTCTATGTGTTTCCTTAAAAAAAAAGTCGGTATTTATTATGAAAGTAAGTTATTTAGGTAATTATAGTTTTTTAAAATACTCAGGATAAATATTTTTACAGTTACATATGCTATGAGCATTAAAATGTTGTTATATTCTTGGTGTATTTTATTTATTTATTGGTTAGTTGTATTTGTAATTTTACAACTAATTATATTATATGAAGTGTTTAGGGCAATAATATGATACATTCTCTCTTAATTATCTTTTAATAATTTTACTACTTCATTATTAAAAAAATATTTCTGGTAAACTAAAAAATATTTTTTAGACTCGTGTAACATTTTGTTTCTGAATATATTTCATTTTGAATTATAATTATTATTAAAATAATCTTATAAGAAAAACTTTATCTCATGTACGTGTGTATGTCATTGAACTACTCCTAAACGGCAGTCTTAATTTTTATAAAACTTTTTGTCTTTGTTGAAGTAGATTTCCTTGTGGTAATGAATCATTAACAAATGATTTATCTTTAATTGATCTTGATAATAATAATAATAATTTTGACTGATGACAGTTCTAGAAAGTCCAATTTTTTTTAAATTTATACTCTAATTCTGATATATGTGTAATTCTATTATGCCAGCATAGAATTCTGGTCAATGTCTTATTCTAATTAATTTGTTAATATATAAATACATCAATCGTTTCCCTTGGGCACTGCGATGCGACAGGCAATCAGCAATCTATAGCATAAACGTAGAAATAATTTTTCGAAATTCAATCGTCTTTTCGAAATATTTAACTGTGTAGATTCTCCGAAGTGTTGGTTTGTGTACTTTAGGAATGTTCAACATCCTGACGTTCCGAAATATCGATCGACGTTTGAGTCAGGGTGACGTCATTGCAACATGACGTCACAATGGAGTGTGTGAGCGAGATGACGCAACACGTGGAAAGCGGTAAAGAGAAAAACGATGGACAGGGCTTTGGAACATATAGGAAAATACATAGAAAATTGGTAAAAAAACTATGTGTGGTGTATTTTAAAGATTTTTATGATATTGCTAAGTTTTTCGATAGATAGAGGTGCAAAAATTATTAAATTTAAAAATTTCTGGGTCACTATAAATCAATTTTTTATCACGTATGTGTCATTTTATTGGAAAGCAACCAATTTGCCAAGGACATTTGGCCAGCAATTCCGAAGTTTCTTTCTTTAAAAAAGTTGTCTAATATTTTGGGCACTTATTTACTCCGAAAACATTATTTTATTGACATTTTATTTTATTTTTATTAATTTAATTTTGATCAAAATTCAAAGATCAAATTTCCTTAAAGATGCGCTTAAAAATCTACGGAATTACTCTGTAACTATAATGAAATTTTAAACTTCATAAAATTTTATAAAATAATATGATCTCAAACTAGAAAAAAATCTATATTAATATAATGTTCAGTTAATTTTGATACTTCTATTTTTCAATCTACACTTTTGTAAGCTACTTGAGTTCATTCATATGTTGCAAACGATTCTATAATTGTAAATTCAGTAAAAACGATTGCAATTTTTTTTTCTCAAAAATAAATCTTTCTCAGAAAATCAACATAAAAGTTTTTCTACTTGCCATTGTTAATTTAATTAATTATATTATTTACAAATTGAATAAAATATGTGTTTAGGAAAAACCGTGGATTGCAGTCCATGTTTTAACCAATAAAGCTCGTGTTTTATTACTCTTTTTCCGGACACAAATAGGTTTACTATACACGATTAGCTGGTTGAATAATTTATTATTTGTTCAATGAATTGTTTGTGGAAAGAAAAAAGAAACTTTTTTCAGGTTGCCATCAGAGGTTTCAGTACTTCTTTATTCTTTAAAAAAAATTCCATGGTAAAATGTAATCAAGTGTACGCAAAAGTTCACCATACATGTAATTGAAGAATAAATGTATTTATGAAGTCGTTGGGGGATTGGAAATATTAAAAAAGTTTTTTGTTTCTGAAACTGAAAAGTAATAATTTATTTTTCTTTGAAATATTGAAAATGTTTATAATGTATTTATTTACTTATACGTTATACATTTGCACATACATTTTATAGATTAGAAATTGAAATAACATTTATTTAGACTAATCGAGGTTTGCTAATAAAAAAATATAATTAATAATTTCGTACTGGAATAAGTGTTTTATTGTAAAATTTCATTTCAAATTTTTTTTACAAAAATGATAAATATTAAAAAAAACATAATGTATTGTGAGAAAGCTACAAAAGCTCCTTATATTTTATAAACTAGGGTAAATTATTTTAATTTAATTCAATAATGAAATAAATGAATTTAACAGCACAGATTCATGTACAATATCTCATTAACATAGGATTATTAGAGGAGATAGTTCTTTTTATTTCAGATGAGATTATTATTAGATATTTCTAACGATGATGCGATCGATTTGCTGAATTGGCTAAATATCCAATAACAAAGGTTATTGTAATACGTATTTTACATTTGGCCTATATCAGCAAATCTAAACATTCAACTAAACTCACCTTGGAGTCATATCCCCAATTACTTAATTGCTAATCCTATAAATATAGCAGAATTGTCCGAAGAGGCTATTTTCACTTAAAACCATATCTGGATCTATATTTTCAAGCAAAAACAGAAATCACTACTGCTTGATATTAGAGCTCTGCTAGAAAGATGGGCAAAAGATGTGTCTGGTGATGGGCAATACTTTGAATGAATCAGATGTAAAAGGTTTTATATAATAAAGTTACATTTCTATAAAAAAACAGCGAGAACTTAGTTGCGCACCTAATAGGATCTCAGTAGAGATCTCATGTGGAATCTTGTTATTGCAAGTCCAAAGATTTTATCACAGAGCTAGAGAAAAACTCTGCTCCTATACATTGCTGATTTATTTTATCACAATATATTAGTTCCAAAATGCAATCCATATTAGAGCTTCTTAATGTAGTTCAATTTTAATGCGCCTGAAGGAATTTGGTGATACATAGCAGTAGTGTTTCCAATCTATATTCCGCAATATTTAGAGAATCTTTTAATCCATTTAGCATTTACATATACATTTAGATAAGTAAATAATCTTCAACAAATGACATCGTTCATTTCGCACTTGGATATCTCTGTTCCTTCAATCCCAACAAGTTGCATCTATTTCGATCGTCCGAAATTCCGCGTTGAACTGAGCTGGATGGAAATAACCGCGCGGTCAAGGAAGGCGCATCGGCGTTCGTCCGCCCGGTGAACATTTGTGAGAAGTGAAATCACCGACGATAAATTTATCTCACAAAAGTGCAACGCGAATCGATGGGATCGTTGACTTCTGGCATTAAGGATTAGGACTTGAATAAAAAATAGAAGAAATATAATTAAGAACTGTATTATTTGCGCAAGAAGATCAAAAACAAGATCAAGAAGTCAACGTTGTGGGACAATAAAACATTAGTTAGTTACTAACTAACCATCGTTAACTTCTGGCATTAAGGATTAGTACTTTAATAAAAGTTACAAGAAATATAATTAAAAACTGTATTATTTGCGCAAGGAGATCAAAATCAAGATCAAGAAGTCAACGTAGTAAGACAATAAAACATTAGTTAGTTACTAACTTACCATCGTCGACTTCTGGCATTAAGGATTAGTACTTTAATAAAGGTTACAAAAAATATAGTTAAAAACTGTATTATTTGCGCAAGAAAATCCAAATCAAGATCGAGAAGTTTTTCAATGTTCAAATTTTTTAAATGCTTTCAAAATTTTCAAAATTGTTCAAAAAAAGTTAAAAATTCTCAACAAAAATATAATTTTTATTTTCTGAACATTTTTATTTACATTACAGGAAGTCCCAGCAATTTGCCTGAAGGCATCGTGCCATTCACCTCTAGTTCATTTTTTTGTGGAATAGACAAAACAATCTAAGAACTCGTATATCATTAAACTTTTCCCATAGACACTTAATATTTAATGAATATTTCCTATCCGGTCTTGAGACGAGCATGTAATTTTATAATGTGGCTCACGAAGTTCCTCCGGCTACATTATCAATTAAGACAAGTGCTGAAGTAGCCAAGATGAGATGGTTCGTGCGGGCGTAATAACTCATTTGCTTTTGTGCCCGGGTCAGAAGTCAACACTGTAACGCAATGAGTTAAAACAATTATTCAATTAACAATCTTACTAACTATAACTGCATCCTTCCTATGTATCATAAATAACAATCAAATTGGACCAAGAGTCTTTAAGCAGATGATAAAGACTCTACCTATGGGCATTAAATTATTGTTGGGCGAAGAGTTTTGAAGAGATCGTGGCGAATCGCTCATTCTAATAAGATTTTTTTATAATTACTTTGATATCAGTTTTTTGTATATTTCTAAGATGGTCGAGACGTTCACATTTATTGCTTTTATAATAGATTAGGTGATTCGACCATCCTTTCTCATCTTCTTCTGCAGAAATTATCAACTGTTACTAATTACCAACTACACTAATTTTTGTAATATTTTTCACTAGTTAATAGAATCAGCACTCTAGCAACATAAACTTAGCTGATTCAATTTTTATATCTTGAAGTTTTTCATAAATTAGTTGAGTAGAACCATGAGTCTAGGAACTTATACCTAGCTGATTCAATTTCATTTATTATAGTCTTTTTTGAAGTTAATGTTGAATCATTAGCCTAAAAACTTAAATTATTTACTTAAATTATTGTTGGAACAAAGAGTTTTTGAGGAGATGTTAATTATGGGACAAAAATAGTTTCTACAAATTGGTTATATTTTTACCTATGAGCAAAACTTCTTATTTGGCAATTTTGATATGCATCCACTTCTTATGACTTTTACGATAGAATTTTTGACGTTTTGATATTATCTCTATTCATGATCAATATATTGTTTTGAACAAAAAGAGTTTCAGACGAGATTGAAATAATTTTACCCTTGAGTACAAAATTATTCTTGGATAAAAAACAATTTTGGGCTATATTATAAATTGCTCTGTAAAATTAAACAGACCAAATGATTCAAATTTTATTAGACAAAATGAGATCTATGAGCTATTTATTTATTTCTATCACACTAGCTATTTCTGTAATTATATGTAATTATTGTATTATTTAATTGTTTGTCAATTAGTTAAACATTGGCAAATTATACATTGTTCAAGAAATAATAATGCAACTCACGCAATTTGAAAGATAATAATTGTTCGATTATCAATTTATGCAGTTATATTTATATAGGTAATTTTATTTCTTTGTATAATAGTTGTATCGTGTTGTTTATGATTTCGAGGGGTCCTTTCAAGTTATTTGTCTAATTTATGAATCTAATTTTGTTATGATATTGAATTTCAATAGTCATAATTTATGTAACAAAAAAAAGATTATATAGTTGAAATATTTATTAAAAATATTAATATCATTATTACAAACATATATTTATAGTATAAAAACAAACAATAAATTTTTAATATACAAAATCTATTTAAATATATATTTTAAACATAAAACTAATTATAAAGAATATTTAGTAATAAATTAAGGAATGAGTTAATAATACATTTATAGAAGCATACATATAAAATCACTTATATAGCAGCATAATTTTAGTAAAAAAATTATAAAACGATACTATTTTTAAGTGCTATATGTTGTCAGTTCTTTGCCGAGAAGTATAAAATAATTTTGGAATAAGTCATTAAAATATAAAGGAATATTGGATACGGGCACTTTTTTAAAAAGCGGGTATCAATATTAAAAATACTGTGTAGATATCATTAAAACTTAACATATAAAATATTTCAAACAGTTTATATAATCACAAAAACATGGGTAATAATATAATAATTTATGCAATATCTATGAACCCAATAAAAGACGCATGGAATGAATTTACATATTAATTTTTTTTTTAATTTTTACTAAATTTTTATCAAGTAGAAATTAGCTTTTGATATGTAATTACGAAATGTCCTCTTATATAGATAGTAATTATAAGAAAGAGAAACAAACTTAATGGCATAGTTATGTGGGTAGTTACTAGAATTGTATGTTGACTTATATATTCTACATTCACATTATTTGTTTTATATTACACCATTAAAAATTAAAACCTATCGTGAACTTTGGGAGGATAAAGCTCATAAATTTTAATGAGAAAAAGCAAGTAATCCAAACGTATAGAGATTACAAAGCAAAATGAGCTTAAAATTAGTAAATTACTCTTTGGTACCTCAAGAGTTTTGTTACTACCATGCGTAGTTTATTGGCCTTATTTTATTGGTAATCAACATAAAATCCACTCGCTCAATTACAGTATTACGTATTCGTTCGTGGTATTCAAGATAATAAAACTTACTTTTCAACGATTTGTAAAATCCTCAATTGTACATCGTATAAGTTTCCAGGCTGTTAGCAATATCGTAAGGGCGGTGGCGAGGAAGCTCGCCTGTAATCCGCTGACTGAGTTGCAGACTTTCGTGACATGGGCCACGGAAAACCGCGCCTTCGCAAAAGGCTGTGGATGCCATGAATTTCCTGAAGGAAATGGATTATGGAGAATTAGATGGGATTAAATACGGTTTAGCATTTTCTTGACATGTCGCGAATCGTAAATGATTGCGTTCTTTGTGATAACAAGCATGATTTATTCAACGGTAAAATATAATATATTCATGATTATGAATAAGAAAAATGTAATGTCTACATTATTATTGCGAAGCAGCTGAGATGTGCCAGGAATTAAAATAATATAAGAAACAATATATGGTTTGGATGAATAAGTCTGCGCATGCGTCTATCAGTGATTGCACATCAAACTTAGCCTATAATTTAATTGAAAAAATATTATTTTTTAACTAATGCAGTCGTGTGTGCCTTACTTTACTAAATCACAATACAAAAAAATACTTATTCAAAAAATTATTCTCTCAACTATGTTGAAAATTCTTATTATATCATTATTAACTTAAATTTTTAACCATCAATTTCATAACCATTGAAAATTGAAAAGTGTTGGGCAAAATGTTCATCACCGATTAAGTTTGAATAAGTGATTTAAAATGTTATTTTACCTGTGAATCAAGTTGGCGAAGTTGTCTGGACAGGACGATGGTAAATTGCCTGCTGTCAGGAAGACGTTCGCAGAAATATAATACTAGATGGTCTTTCACAGCCTTCATCACTTGTACTGTTCCGGTGAATTGATTATATGAATAATCCAAAGCTAAAAAATAACATGCAAATTCGTAAATATTTGTGAAATTTATAAATTTTATATCTTATAAACTCGAAACCACACTAAAAATACAAGATAACTCTAACTATATTATATTTACAGCGAGTAGTCTTTAAGTTTTAGCATTATTAAATTTTTCTGATCAGCCAGACTAAATTCATAAAAATGTTTTTGATGTATGCATTTGTAATATAATAATAATAATAATAATGATAGGTAGGTAGTACTGCCCTAGTACTATACTGCCCACACTATTGTCCAACTCAATCAGAAAAGATTTCGAGAGATTTCCCATTGCCAATTTACACTACAGTGCCCGAAATGAGCTATTTTTCAGAAACATATTTTCGGAGTAATTTTTTAAAATAATATGTATCTGTTACCATCATTAACCGTTTAAAACTTTGAAGCCACAAATTTTTGGAATCTTCAGAAAGCTCTTCACAATTGGCAATTACTTGGATCTACAATTTTTATGGTTATAAAGTACGCATAACGATTACAATAAAACAGTTGAAATGAAATATAATATATAATTATTAGTCTTGTTTATTAGAGTTTCATAAAATTTATTGTCGGTCAAATGTTAAATAGCACTGAAGGCCGATGTAAAACAATGCTTTGGCCACGTCATTAATTAAAATATCGTAAAATAATTGAATATTTGTAAAAATAATTTAACAGAATATCATTTAGTAATATAAATATAAATAATATATTAGTAAATAAGACTGTGAGTAAAATTATATCATATTTGTTTACAATATGGTTACAATTGCTGTCCTTCTTAGAATAAGTTGCTTCGCTCTGATGAGAGTAGTGTTAAATTAACCTTGGTCTTGACAAAAAGACTAATTTCTATTGTCCATCGTTATAATGTGTTTTTTAGCAAATAAAATATGAACATTTTTTCGTTGTTATTATTTGAAATCAGCAAGCAATGATTATAACCTTTCTTAGTGCTTTATGAGCTGTTGTGGTGTACTTTGTACTACCTGGCTTTGTTAGAAGGTAACCCAATAGGTATCATTTTTCTTTTGTGATGAATTTTTATTTTACATACTTGTAAAGTAGTAATGTTCCTAAAGTCTATTTTAATTTGTTGGGGTCTACGTTAGAAGTAAAAGCTGATACCACTACTTGTTTGATATCAAGTTGTACGTAGCGTTCTATTTTTATTACTTACGGTCTCCCCTGTAAGGTGCTGTGTAGAAACCAGTATCCACGTGCAGAATTGTTGTATTGCAAAAATAGACCACCGTTTTTCTGTCTTCGGACCATGTAAACCTAAGATATCTAAAAGATCGATCTGAAGGTCTTCCTGTAGGGTTCCAAGATTGGCCGCCTCTTCCCTGCTGCCTCCTTTGCTGGTAACCGTATTCTCCTGGTCGATACGACGTTTCCGTTGTCGTCATCTGGATAATAATTTATATATCAAACCATTTGGGGTAAAATATTATTTATCATATTTTAAGCCTTGATTTTTTATTGTATATTATAGAAACAATCAGTGCTCTATAAATAATACAGAGGAAAAATATAAATAGCAGAAATTAATATGGAATTGACTATGGATTAAACTGTATTATAAAGGAATTGACTATGGATTAAACTGTATTATAAAGGAAACAAGATAGGTGCCATAGGTAGTTTCTATAAAAATTTTAGCAATGAAAATTTTGATTAGAACAAATATAATGATTTTTCTCTCTCACTTTGTTCATTAAAAAAATTTAAATACAAAGATCTAATGCTTGAAAATATTTTTATATTCTCAAAATAGAACTCACCTCGTGCGTTGCATCTAGTATATTTATTATAGGGCACCTCGAGACTGATTTATTCGTCATTTCATCCCTAACAAGGGAATAATCGTCTGTATTTGTGTGTGTTATTTCTTCAGCTCCAATCCATAATCCCATAAGCTATAATTTTCAATAATTTTAATGTTTTTTATATTTTTAAAACACAACTACCAATTTTTAGTAGATCGAAAAGCTTTATAAAAGCACAGAATAATCAAAATCTTGTACTGTATCATTGTTTTTGGTTTCAAAATTATTAAGATTTATTCCTTGAAGCTCAAATATTAAGTGATCGTTTATCTGGGAATCTCTATTCTTAAATATATAATATTTAACTTGACAACAACTGTTTTTAATTTAAACTCTATTCGTGAATCGGTACTACATTTTTATGACTCTCTGAAGATTATATGTGAAAAGGATTTTTTTTCTCCATTTATCAAATCTTCTAAGTTTTTCTTAATTAAGAGAAACATATATAACGTGAAATGCTTTTTATTAAAAAAATATAAGTGACGTTTCATTAAATACAGGAGTACCATTGTAAACTTTAAAATCATTTTATTTATGAATAATACTCTCCTTTATTTTTGTACTCTTTTTTATTTAAATTTATATTATTGTTTATCATTGTTACCAGATATTAAATTATTTAACAGTTGTAACAAATATTGTATTAAAAAAAAGGAATTATGAATATTTATGAACAGTTTCAAATAGTAGAGAAAGTAAGTAAATTTTTAATGCCGATTTTATTCATTTGAAATTTATATATTTATTGTTTTTTAATAAAAACAATGCAATACGTTTTCTAATATAATTACATTAAAAAAATAATTCTGAATTGAAAAATACAAGGGGGGTTCTGAAAGACTTAACAATTTATTTCGAATTTAATCTTCTGTTTAAGGGCGACTATTTTAATCAGATTATATATTTATTTAACTTGTTTTTTACAATAAAATGTTCAAAAATACATAATTTTATAATTTTGATTCCACTCACACTATCGATATCAACATCTGTTTGAAAATTAACCGGTCCGCAGTTTTCATTAAAAGCTCCGACAACTCTTGAACAAAGCACGGACAAAGTCGCTAAGGCCAAGAAGCACCACATTTTGTTGACTAAATTTCTTTTGTTCACACACAAAAAAGCTTTGAATTTTTCTTTATTATTTTATTATAATCACCAGCACGATTTTATTTAAAATTCAAAATGATTTTTAAATCGAAACGCGTTCTCTTCAGTTCAGAGCAAACCGCCCACTGCCTGAACTGCACTCGGATGGTTGTCAGACTGAATGTGTAAGACCTGATCTGATTGTGAGATGAGAATGAGTTTTATTCGAGTTAATTAATTGACCAGTCACTCTGGACCCTCCTTTGTTGTTTTAGAATAATGATATATTACACTGTTAAATTTGTGACAGACAAATGAGGAAAGAATACGACCATTCCAAAAAGTATTTTTTTTAAATTTAATTTAGTTTAAATTCTGGACATTCTTATAATATTTTGGAATTAAGTTAAATTAATTATTTATATCTTGAAAAATATTTTGCTATATTTTAACAAAAACCTTGCGCTTTATAGTTCTCTTGTGCAGAGAAACATGTTGTACACAATTAAGGTGCAGAAAAACGAACTTAGGCCAAAATTGATTATTATGGTATTATTGAATTCATTACATCTAATTAAATACATTTTTTTAGTATTTTATCAAATAATATAAAGCAAATAGAATATATGAGAAAAAAAAATATTTCACTGGTACTGAAAAGAATAATTATTGGACCAACTTTTGGTCAGGATAGACGTGATTTATATATAATCTTTAATTTAATATTATTAATTTATATATTAATTTTTTCTAAATTTTTTCCAAAATAAATACTTCAATTACTCTTAATATGTTATTCTTTTTGACTAACATATTCGCTAATATAATTAATTTAATGTGGTTTAGCTAATTTAGAAATAATTTTTGTATTTTATCTACTAAAGAAGGACCCAAAACCTATGAAAGTTTATTAATTATTTTTAGATACAGAATATAGAGACAAATCAAATCGTAGAATTTGTGAATTTAATATTATTAAATAAATAATACAGAGTGTGGTGTGTTCGTATTTCAAAAATATTAAATTTTTATATTAACTAAATCATAGTAATAACCATAATAATAAAAACATAGTAATATTCAACTATGGTAATAAATAAACATACATACATAATATTTTACTTTTATTTAAACAAACTATCGGACAGGTTGGACGTCATTTTACTTAGAATTAAATTTTATTTATTTGCAAATTATGTTTTTAATGTTAACACAACTTAATTTAAAATGTAAAAAACATAACAAATGAACCATACCATTCTATATACTGAGAAGTATCAAATTAGGACTCAAAACGTATAGAAGTCTATTAATTTTTTTTAGGAACGTGTTAGAAATTAGTCAAATCAGAGTCAAAACATTTATAAATTTAATATTATTTATTATAATAATTAATCTAGAAAAATGCTCTAAAATAATATTATTAAAACATCAAAATATTTTTTATTTATCAGACTGTAATTTATTTTATTTATTACTGCTATCATTTGAGTAACTAATGATGAGATATTAAATTACTAGACACTTTTATATTAAAATTCTTTTTAATTTGTTCGAATTTTCCATCGAAACAATTATAATGTACCGACGACACTTTGTTTAATCTTTGCTGGAGGCATTTTCTTACCACATCGCTATTTTTGGCCTTAGAGATCATGCACCCAGCAGATGTCCTCAAAGGTGCTGAAGATATACACATTACTAGGGGGTCCTACAGATCTATTTTAGATTTTATTTCGAACGAAAACGAAAAAAAAAAACTTTGACATGCGAGAGTGAATGCACGGCGTGATTTTAAACACAGTCTGTAAATTCAGGAAGTTTGTGTTTGGAACGATATTGTGGTAATAAAATTATTTGTAATAATAAAATTATTATAAATAGTATAATAAAGTTTTACAAATATCACATTGTCAAAAATCTGCATTTTGGACCACCTGATATCAAGCAGTTGTAATAACTGCTTTTGCATTGATTTAAATATATTTCGAAGTGAAACTAGTTCTTTAAGAAATAGCATTCAATAAGTTCCTATTCCATATGAAATAGAATTGCAATAAGTAAAAATATATCATTACTATTAGAAGACAACCATTGGGTTGCCTTCTAAAAAGCTACTTAGTTGAGGTTCATTATCATAACAGTAGATATTTAGATCTCTCAGATCTTACTGTTGTTCAAAAATAATATTTACTATTATTACATTACTATAGTAATATAATTTTCAGTATATGATTCTCAACGATCAAATTTGCATACGCAATCGCTATGGTTTAGACAACGTTGTCAATAAAAAAAATAAAATACTCACACTCAATAGCAATATATATATATATATATATATATATATATATATATATGTCTTTTGTCTAAGTCAAGTACATATTTTATAATTTTTTGCATCTTGAAGCAATAACGTACAGGCGGTGACATAACCTCAATTAAAGCACGTCTTTGTCCGTGATGCTAATTGGTGACACATCCAGATGGCTCATGAATGAATGAATCAGGATTGCACTGAACCATGATATATATCATACAAATACCTACAAATATTATCAGGACTTACTCGATATGATAAGCAGTTATTTGTAAAATTATGATAAATTATCAGTTTTGTGAAAATAATACTGCCAATCTATCAATCGAAGTGTGGCTCCACCTGTTTGACTAGATAGTAAGGCAAAGAGTCTCTCTCCCAACTAATTTTATAATATTGTTGACAAAAAGAAATATATGTGGTGCGCTGTATATTTATATACAGTGCAATAACATAAAATTATAAAGTCGCTTAAGAAAATGTATATGACTAATATACTCATATACAAAGTCAAGGAAAGAAAATAAAAAAAAAAAACTAGGTATATAGCTATATTAAAAAGGCCATGAAATCTTTGGTAAGAGGGTCAGAACAAAATAGACAAATTAGAATTTCAACTAGTATTTTGATTGAGATGCAGAATTATAGACCAAGGAAAATTTGCCTTTGCTAAGATTGTATTAATGTTACAAGGAGCTTCCCATTGAACTTTGTTTTAAAGCTGATATGTCTTTAGGATATTTATTATAGAGGCTTTAAAATCATATATTTCAAGGCCGGGAGTATGTTCGCGACAAATCAAAGCATGCCATATATCGATATAGTAAACATATGTTCACGCTAAATTAAAAGCATGCGATTTATGATTAAAATTCAATAAAATCAATCAAAAATTATTATAAAATAAAGTCAATCAATACAATACTTAGAACATTAAAAATATTGTAAATATAAGTACAATTTGTAGTTAATTTAAAATAAACACATATTATTATAATTAAAGTGTTTTACAACCAATTGGTCCTTCAAAAATCAAATCGAACAATCATTAAAAAAACGCCAATCATCCAAATAGTTGCTCTTCATTTCCATGAATCCATACATCAACCAAGCTCTACATTTTTATGAAAATATCAGACAAAACAAAGTTTAAACAAATATAAGTATT